CATTCCAGACTCTTATGATAATCATAATGCCCTGAAATATATTACTTTTAAACTATTATCTCCTTCATTGGCTTCAATGCAGTAAACATAATTTATCCCATTTTTCTCGGTCTTACTCCCACCCTGATATCAGCCTCATTCTACAACAGTGGCACCATATAGTATTTGTCCTTTTGAGACTGAACTATTTCACTCAGCATAATGTCCTCCAGAGTCACCCATTTTGAATAATATTGCATGAGTTCCTTGTTTTTCAATGTAGCATAGTATTCCATTATGTGAATATACCACAGCTTCTCTATACATTGGTTTGCTGATGGGCACTTAGTTTGATTCCAACTCCTTGCTATTGTGAACAAAGCCACGATAAATGTGGGTGTGCATATATCTGCTTGAATGTCAGTTATGATCTCTTTAGGGTTTATTCCCAGTAGTGGAATTGCTGGGTCAAATGGTATCTCTATTTGCAACTTTTTGAGAAAGCATCACACCACTTTCCACAGTGTTTGCACCATTTTACACTCCCACCAACAGTGAATAAGGGTTCCAGTCTCTCCACAACCTTGCCAGCATTTATTGCTTGCTGTTCTGTTAAATTTTGCAATTCTGACTGGGATGAGATGATATCTCATAGTTGTCTTGACTTGCATCTCTCTTAGAGCTAGGGATTTTGAACATTTCTTCATGTGCTTGTTGGTCATCTGAACATCTTCTTCGGTGAAGTGTCTGTTCATATCCTATGCCCATTTTTCTACTGGATTATATACCTTTATCTTGTTCTGGATATAACTCCCTTGTCTGAGATGTCATTACCAAATACTTTTTCCCAGTCTGGTGGAGACGAGCTTTTTGTTTTTCACAGTGGGGTATTCCATTGTGTGAATATACCACAGCTTGTCTAGCCATTCGTTTGTTGCTGGGCACTTAGGTTGTTTACAACTCCTTGCTATTGTGAACAAAGCCGTAATAAACATGTGTGTATGTATGTATCAATGAATGATGTGTTAAAAAATTAGTTTTAGGTACATGTATGATGGGCAGTCTTTTCCAGTGTGATTAACTGCCTCTGAAAACCTGCCAGAGGGTCAGCTATGGGTCAGTTCCAACTCGATGGTACATACCACCAAGAACAACATATTGTATGTATTTATATATTTATTTTATTTCACAACAAAAATAGAAGCTCTTGTGGCTTCCCTTCTCAGCACATTTATGACAGTACATCTCAGCAAATGGCAAAAGACAGGTACTTATTTAGGACTCTATAAATCTTTAATAAACGAATCAATTAACAACAACAAAAGATTAATTGTATTGGGAAATCTGCTGTCATGGACCTCTCCAGAGTGGTGAAGTGCAACTATATCAGTCTAGAGACACAGGTGTCTAATCTAGGCCACGGTCTTTGCAACTACTTGTTATGCTTCAGAGAGTTGGACAATGACTAAGGATGACAGATGAAGAATAGATGTTTTTGAGTTGTGGTACTGGAGAAGAGTCTTGAACATACAATGGACTGCCAAGAAAACAAATAAGTCTGTCTTGGAGAGGGTGAAATCAACTTTCTCCTTGGAGGTTAGGATTTTGAAGCTCTGTCTCACATACTTTGGGCACATGGCCAGGAGAGACTGGTCCTTGGAGAGGAACATCATGCTCAGAAGGGTGGAGTGACAGTACAGGAGAGGAAGACCCTGGATGAGAGGGATTGATACAGTATCTGGGGCAATATGTGTTGGTGTGTCAGAATTAGTGAGACTGGATCAAGACAGGGAAGGGTTCAGAGCTGCTGTATTCAGGGTCTCTATATATCACAGGCAATTCATTGGCACATAAGAATAACATATAGTGGGTCGGTTTTTAAAAATTTATTTAAGCCTCTGGTTTAGAGTCAACAAGACCTCAAAGAGAGCCTTTGTATTTAAAGTTGGTTGTTATATTTTGGAGGAACATTCTTCTAGGTGTTATAGTACTCTTCTGTCAATATGCTGAGGTAACCTGGGGCTGCTGTGATGCTGAACCTCGTGCTACTGGAGTGTCAAATGCAATAACGGTTACCATGGTGGACAGTGTTTGGTGGAGTTCCCAGATTAAGACAGTTTTGGAAGCAGGAGTGCTATCCATTTACTAAACAACATGCCTCTGGAAACTCTATAAACTTTGATAAATGTTGATAGTTATAGAAAGGCTTTAGGCCATTTGTTCATAGGGTCGCCATGAGTGGTGCTTGACTCGAAGGCAATCAACAACAACAACATTGACTCCAACAATTCAAAGCCATTTTTACTCACTTTGAACAACAAGGATGGGCACTCTCATCCCAAGCAATTTACTGCCTCTGAAAACGAGTCATTTCTGACTCAACAGCAAACAACATACACACACTGAAAGTCAAAACTGGTTTGAGTCAGTTAATGTATTTTGAACAAATGTGAGTTAGTTTAGCCTGGTTAAAAACCAATTATCTGAAGAGAAATTTGAGAGGCTTCTGATCTTAGACTTCACTTCTTTCTTAAGTAAGAAAACAGAGTGATAAAGGTGTAAGGTAATTTCTTTCTGAAGATTAATTTACTTTCTCCCAATACAGAAACCTGCATTGTTTTTTATAACAATAGCAGAGACAGGACACATCATCCCAGTGAAGAGAAGGACTCTAAAAATTTTTCACTTTGATATTTGACATTGATGCCATCTCCGCAGACTCCTCTTGGAACCCTATAAGGCCACCAGATAACTGAGAGAGTGCAAACATTACCATGAGCCCCACAGAGGTGTTTAACTACACCAGAGAATTACAGAGAAAGAGGGCAATTTGTATTTCTTATAGAACATTAAAATTGTATTAACCTCCACCAAAAAAAGGGGGCAGAGGGTAATAAAAGGGAAGGTAGCAAGAAATGGAGATTCTGAAAACAATTTGGATGCAATTATATAAACTATGACTGAAGGTGTTATTTCATAATAAGCTGCCAATACACGCATGTTTTAATCTATTCATTCAACAAACCAGAGTCATGTGTGACTCAGCTGCCAAAAGTTTAAGTAAATGACACAATCACTATTTCCTGCATCAAAGCAGGCTTACCAGTTGAGCCTCTGTTCCCATTACTGGATCCATTCAACCTTCAGATCATCAAATGCCTGAACACTTTGCATTGTGATAGCATCATCTCCACCTTGCAAGTGTGTTTTCCAAGCAACTTTGTAAGAGAAACAAGAAGTAAAAGCACCTGCCCACCAATAAAGAAAATTTAAAGTCACTTACCAGCCACAAAACTTGGAAATGATGCCACTTTCTTTGTCTATTTAGAAATAGAAAAAGAAAACAGGATGTCTGTAAGCAGATGCTATCTAATGCCACGTGAAAAGCTAAATCCCTGAATGAATGGTATTCCCAGATGTAAACTAAGTGCATAAAATCAATCTCATGTAGGCATTTTGATGCTGTGCAGGAATACATGTGGGTAACTCCCAAGGGAAACCTTTTGGTGCACAGTCTACCACTGAAAACCTAAACGCCTTTAAATTAGCATGACACTTCATGGGAACACTTCCCCTCATTAGTTAAAGACTATTAATTCAATGGGTGTCAAACCTGTGGCACCAAATAGTCACCATGCTGAAAAGAAATTTAAGGAGAGTTGGGCCTCACTTTGTGGGCAGCCACCATTTTCATCAAAGTTAGAAACCTCATACTTTGCTTAAGGTCTTACTTTTATGCTTTCTACCACCGCAAGCTTACTAGACACAAGACTGCTTTTCAAAATCATGTTGTGTGTTTAGAATAGTGGTTCTCAACAGGGATTATTTTGTTCAAAGGGGATATCTGACAATGTATGGAGACAATTTTGGTCATCAGGCCTAGAAGATGGTCCTATATATTTAGCAATTAGAGACCAGGAATGCTGATGTACATCCTGCAGTACAAAAAATAACTTCCTTATCAAAGAATTACCCAGGCCTAAATGTTAACAGTGTCATTACTGAGAAGCCTTGGTTTAGAATACAGCATCAAGCCAAGTGGTAGGATGCATTTCTGGGCCATCAGCAATACAGATACACTACGGTGTGATCCTGAATCATCTCTTCCCTTATAAGGACACCTGAGACATACTCTCCCCCAGTCACTTGCTAGGATGAGAATATCAGGGAGTTAGTGGGTAAGCAGACCTCCATGCGGAAGGTCCTGGCTTACAACACTGTTGGAACTTGCATCCTTGAGGAAAATTACCTCTGGAATGTTGTTATTGTCAATGGGTCCGTTGAGATCGGAGCGCTGCTGCTTCCTTGGCTGTTCCAAACCATTGCAAACCTGAATACCAGGAAATTGAAAATATTGTGTTTATACACTAAAATAAGCCAGACAAATGCACATACATGAGCAGACATGCGACATGATACCAAGTTTGCAAACTGTGTGCACGTGTGTGTGCATCAAGCTGCACACATAAACATATATTTTATCTTGAAACTTTTCTTTAATCTATTTATCAGACCTCCAAAAAAAGTTTTTTAAATCATAGTTAACCCCCCATAATATTTCTATTGAGAAGAAATTAAAAACAGTCAATTTGTCGCAAAGATATTTCCCAAATGTTCTCTTAAAGAGGACCTTAAGCCATAATCTTCTTAACTGACTAGAAGGTAAAGTTTTTGGATACTTTCTCTACTTCTGCCACCTTAAAAACAGACACAACCTGAGCATTTGAATCCAAAGTCACTGTCCAGAGAATTAAAGAGAGGTAAATGACTGGAATAGCACATCAGCAGAGAACTGCCAGAAGTCTAGGCTGGGTTTAGAAGGGGCCGTGGTACTAGGGATATTGTAGCTGATGTTAGATGGATCTTAGCTGCAAGCAGGGAATACTAGAAGAATGTCTATCTGTGTTTCATTGATTATGCAAAGCCGTTTGACTGCGTGGATCATAACAAACTGTGGCTGACTCTGAGAAGAATGGGAATCCCAGAACACTTGATCGTTCTAATGCGAAACCTATACTTGGACCAAGAGGCAGTCATCAGAACAGAGCAAGGAAACACTGCATGGTTCAAAATTGGGAAGGGTGTACGCCAGGAATGTGTCCTATTTCCATACCTTTTCAACCTGTATACAGAGCAGATTATCCTGGAGGCTGGGCTCTATGAGGAGAAATGTAGTGTCAGGATTGGTGGAAGATCTATCAATAATCAGCGTTATGCAGATGACACAACTCTGCATACTGAAAGTGAGAAGGACCTGAAGTGCTTGCTGCAGAGGCTCAAGGAGCCTTCAATACGGATTGAGGGTCAATATCAAGAAGACAAAGATTCTCACCACTGGACCAATTGGTAGCATCAGGATGGATGGTGAAGAGATTGAGATGGTTCACAGCTTTAGTTTGTTTGGCTCCACAGTCAACACTCTTGGCACCAGCAGCCAGGAAATTAAAAGACATATTGGATAGGAAGTCTGCTGTTAGGGATCTCTCCAAAGTACTGAAGAGCAATGGTGCACTCTGAAGACTAAGGTGCATCTGATACAGGCTATGATCTTTGCAATAATTTGTTATGCATCAGAAAGTTCAACAATGACTAGGGAAGACAGAAGGAGAATTGATGCCTTTGAGCTGTGGTGCTGGAGAAGAGTATTGAATGTGCCATGAACTGCTAACAAAACAAACAGATTCAGCGATGCAGCGCCAGCGAGAGCGATGCAGCGTGAGAACACCGCCACCAGACGGGAGAACGCCACCGCCAGACGGGGTTCCACCGCAAGAGGGGCCGGGAAGAGACCCGGGAAGAACAACAGCCAGCCACCTACCCTGGAACTCCAGAGGAGCAAAGACTGTGAGACCCCAGAGGAACGAAGAGTACCCAACACTGTGTGACCCCCCTGCAACCCACACCTGTGTGACCCTTAACACACAGGGTGCTGCTGCATAAACCCCCAGAAGCACCCAAGCCCCGCCCCCACCTCTTGGTGATAGTGTCCAAGCCCTGTGCTCCTTACCCCCTAGTCCCTTGCTTTCCTTCCCTTCCCCCACGCCCCTTGCAGCTCTACAACCACACATCTCAACCCCCACCACCGCCCTGTGACCTCAGGGCACCACCTTGGATCCAGCCATCACCCGGAGCTATCAGGCGAGCTGTTGAGGAACTAACCAGGCAGGAGAAAGGCCAGTTGCAACACCCCCACGATACATCTTCAAGGATATGAACATGTACGG